AGCTTTGGTCGCTTGTGTCACTCGAGAATTCGTTTCCCAAAAGAATAGTGAGTTCATTTCAGTGGTAATCATGACACGAAGCAGTACGTGTGATGTTGATGATTCGACAGCAGCTGATTAGCTCTTTGAACACTTTCAAATTCGGTAGTTGTGATACCCTTATGGTTCATGTATTTTGTTCTCAGTACGATTCACTGTCTCAGTGACACGGTTGTTGAATCACTCAGAGTTCACCATTTGATCCGTTCGTTGTTTCCAGTCTTAACTGCAGCGCTTCGGAAAGATTATTTGCACGTAGATGCCGATGAATCACGAGGTGTGCAATACGTAGGTCGGTCGGTGTTGCGTGCATTCCAGTTGTGGTTCAACCTTCCCTCAAGTGAACAACTTCATTCGCGCCTCGAACCGCGTAAGTGTTGTCCTTGTGTTACATTTCAACTCTGTCCATGTTCCGCTTGAACACACATTAAACATGTCTCGTAAAATATGACAAAAGAAGCAGCAGCAGGAGAAGGAGGGTAAATTTGTTCTCAAGTAACAAAGTGATTGTGACTGAGTTGTCGAACTTATTTCCGTAAAGGTGGCACAGCCGTCCGAGGTAAGGTTAATTCGGGGTCGTGTGACGGGAGTAGGTCGCATGATAAACACTGAAAATTTTACTTTTCAAAGCGATTCATTGAAATTAATTAACTTTCCCTAACCATAGTTTTCGCACGTTTAGTCCAAATTTCGTCAAAATTAATTGAGTGGTTCACACTAGAAATTAGTAAATCGCTTTCGAAGGAAAGGAAGGACCAGTTGTCCTTTTGAAAACCGATTTCTGGTCGTACCATATGATCGCAGGTTGACAATCTATTCTCAAGTGTGTTTAGGTGACCCGATTCATGAATTTAGTATGGAAAACGATATCAGAAACCGTATCATGTTGAGATTTCTCGATCTTGCCAACTGGACCAGGCGCACCGCCTAGTCAGAATTATGTTCCTTGGAATCAAATTCCCCTTGCAGAAAGAACAGAACGAACAACTATCCGTCATGGATATATTGGTCAAACGAACTGAAGATGGAAACCGACGTCTACCGAAAGCGAACCCACGTGGATCAGGTCCGCAGATTTCAGAGCAACCACCCTTTTGGCACACAAGAGAAGCTGCTTACAGACACTTTTCAAACGAGAAAAAACGCACTGCAACACTCTCCAACTTCACAAGACAGAGGAATTCGACCTTCTTGAGGTGTTTCGGTGTAACAGATACACACGAAATTTCGGGCTACGTTGCTTCATACGACGCTCAAGGAGAAGACGGCAACTGAAGCCCCAGGAGAAACCTCAAATGCACCGTCAGAAGAGCAATCGATGATTAAACCAACAACACAGCCATGAATACAAGTAGTCTGGAAAATGCCAGCCAGATTATTACATCCATCAGGAACTTTGGTTGCACACACCACAACGGTGACAGTGAAGGGTATCCCATCAAGACCGAAGGATCAACCGCCAAAAGAAGATTCCTTAAACGTCGTATACAAAGTAGTGTTGGAACTGCGACAAATATTGTCGGACAAACTAGTAGAAAACTTAAAACATGACTACACGAACACACTGGTGGTCAAAAGACACCACGATAAGTCGCAAAACTCAATCCACATGAATGGTGAGAATCACACCTTCGAATTAGACAAAGCATGAATAATCGAAAGAGGAACCACAAAGTCGGTACCGGAGTTCATCGAAGCATAGCACTCCAGGATGGATAGTATAAAAATGCATATAAAACTGGGGCCCGTTCGTCAGTACCTCAGGGAACACTGATGACCCTCGACAGTTAGGAACCGATTCGCGGTTGGTCTAAGAAAGCCAATCGACCACTGAGAATCAAAGAACGTCGCCATGACAATGAAACAACTAAGGAAATCACAGAAAGTGGTCACAATTGACCATTGGGATTAAACAGACGCAAAGAGCCAATCAAAACCGTCGAACAGAATATAAGCGCGATCACATGGAGGTCTGGTGCTGCCTCGAGATTGCACTGATCATATTACCTAGCCTGGCTACGAAACGTCTGCGAACAACATTTCCAACTCGAAGAACACACCAACGCCAACATCCGCATCCTAAGCTATAATCATTCCATATGATTTTCAACCCTTTTACTCCTTTTCGCTCATCACCTGCCTCAAAAAACAATACTCACCGTGGCAATTTACTTAGTTAAATGCCTAACAGAACAAGGTTAGATGGCGGGGTTCCAACCGCGAACCCCCAGAACCAAAGCACGCGTGTAACAGTAACTCAAACCGCTGAATTACTACCTTTCAATATCCAGAAATTTCATTATTGTATTACCCCTGAGCTCATTTTCCATACCAAATTCATGATTAAGTTACAAACCGAATCCAGTCTCCTAAACGATTGGATTTACCTTTAATGTAGACCCATGATCTGCCCGCCAGAATACCTGATGGATGCTCTTGAGTTCAATTTCGTTATCGTTCAGTTCAGTTCAGTTTGTACAAACAATAACCATACGTTTTTGTGTGCCGGTCTTGGTTTCTGTCTTTTCGTGATCGCAAACCTGATAAAGGGGAACTGGTAATCCCCGTACCTAAGCAGATTTGCCAACATCGCTTAGCATAAAAAGAAGTAATTGGCGTATGATTCTGTCACTGCTGCTTACCCATTTTTCTTTACCGCAGTTGGTGACAAACCGGCGCTGGCATCGTTCCTACAAAAAGTATCAACCGCGAGCTCCCAAACGCCGATATCCAGTTTCTTTTGGTTGTACAGCTTCCTTTATTGCAACTCGATTCAGTCGGTTTAGCTCTCTTCATGTGAATGGACAATCATTGGTACGAATCCACCCTTCCCCCTCCGCTTCCACCCATAATCCCCAGTTTTTTGTAAGAAATGTATCCATTTTATATTTTCATTTGTAGAGCAACATTTTGTTGTCTTCCCATACTGAAACTGGGGAACGGAAAACAAGCGTCAAACGGCTGCAGAGCGTTATTTTAATCAGCTCTACTACACCAATAATAGGTGTTGTGATTGCAGTTTGTGTTAATCTCCTCTTATATGGAATTGGTTTGTGGAAATGCGAAAATGATTGTATTCGAAACGTTCCTATTTCTATTTGATTTGAAAAATATCAATTCAGCACCTACCGTACTGTTCTCAGTGTGACACTGAGGCAGAGTCAAAGGTGACTTAGCGGAAGTGCAGAGAACCATGCTGAACAATGTTCTTTACTCTTGGAAAACTTTGTAAATAGGTTTTATTGAAATATCTTGGTGAAAATTTAGTGAATGCGTCTTAATCGCGTCGTGAACAAACGGACATTTTTCGTGTCTAGGTGGTATACGAACTAATCATTGCCAGGTGCCGTGTATATGGATGGAATTGAGGAATCATTTCAGTAGTCGGATGGTTTTTGTTCACCAAAGCAAAATAGGTGAGCTTGTTGTGTTCGAAGACCAATCGGACTCTCAATGTCAGTTCCGCGGTTGATGTCCTTCGTCAGTTTTGATTATTCAATTTCATTGTAAGTGATTCACATTGCGATGAACAGTAAATCGGGCGTGACCTTTGCTCGTCGCTTTTCGTCAGGTGTTAAATGTTTTTATTTCTAAGAGGGATGTGGAGTTCTTCGATTTTACTGCACCATGGGTGGTGATCCGGTTTTAACGTCACCAAATTATCACCCCGAAGGTCGTGTGTTCGAATCCCACCACCACCGCCTGACTTCCCCGATTATCTATTTTGTATCACAGTTTTTCTACTCGTCTCTTTCCCTTTCCTGAAAGTTGTACCATTGCATATTCAATAGGAAGTAAAACGAAAAAAAGATTAACGTAGATCGAAAATTTTGTATTCAATATTTATTTCTATAAGTATGTAAGAGGGTCGAAATAAAAAAAGATAACATACAAAGCGACCAGTTCAACAAGAGTCTACTCACGCTTCACCACCAACTACCCAATCACACGACACGTTTCCTTCGCGGCCTTCTCCTCATTAGCCAAAAATGCCCGGACCGCGGCTGAAATCGCTGCAGCCGGGTTATTCGAGAATAGACTGACCATTCCGGATTGCATTTGTCCCGGTGTGTCTTCTGTCAGAGTTCTGCTACCTGTCCAAGCTCGCCATATCCGTATCTGACCGTCAGCACTTGCTGTGATGTACTGTTCACAATGAAGATGGAATATTTGATCAATGATTTGTTACGACAAACTCGACTAGTTTGTTATTTTTAGACGCGCTTTCTGAGAAGCGAGAAAGTCATTTTTGGGATAAATATTTCACAACATTCAACCACTACTGGTTATTAGTGTAAAGTCCAGGGAAAACTGTCATATGTAACGCCATATTAATCTGAATGTCGCACACGTCGTACTCAGATAACACCTCTAAGCTGCTCCATCGCAGTCTCGATACTTTTTTAGTGCTGTTTGTGTGACTTGACGAGCGTTGCAAAACACTATCATAGTCCGAGTGCTATTTTTTCTACAGTTGTTCTCCGATTGAAAGTTATTTGAAACCGGTAATGTATATAGAGTAGAGTGAGCGGGTAAGCAACATCGTACTAAGCACAATACTCAGTAGTATTTATCTTTTGTGCCCTGATTTCATCCGATAAGCTGACTGTTGAAGGTAGTTAGTCCGATCTGTTCATAATATAGCTGCAGCTTGGAACCTTAATTTTGTTCACAGTTAGACCTGAAGTAACCTAGGCTCTTGTATCCCAGTCTCAGATATTAAAGCGTCAATCAGAAGTGGATGATAGACTGATTCAATACGGAAAAAAGTATCACAGGAAGCGTTGTCCTCGCTCAACTAGCAGACTCGGGTCACTAAATGAAGCTTGAATCAACCCCAAGATTATCTATCGTGTATCACCCTACCAATCCAAATCGTTGCGTTGACCACATCCCAGCCGATACAGAGGCGATCGGCATTGGGTTGTTCACAACCACTGTATGTACACAAAACGGATTGGCCCGGGCCATTCAGTTATCATGGCTAAGGATCGATCTTTTTTAATTACACACGAAGTGATTTACAGCAAAAGGGGTAAACCCCATAATCAATTATATACTGTAAGGGGGAGGTATGTGGGGGAACATTCAAGTAAGAACCAATTTGTTAATCCTGCTTTTGAATAGGGTAAGGTTATACCAGCTGGGAAACAGGGAAATAGGAAGAGTGTTTCACAATTTCGCAGTCCTCGGGAAAAAAAGATTGAATGATAGAAGTACGATATCTGGGGGCAGAAACCTGATAAGGGTGACTGGTCGCCTGAGAACGAGATGGACGAGAGAAGGTCAATGGAAGGGGAACTGCTGAAGCGAGTTCGGAAGAGCAGAAACCAAAATACTAATGATAGAAAAGAGATAACGAAACAACTGCCCGGTGATGGGAAAGCGACTGCAAGTTGGAAGTTAAAGATGGTTCGTCGATCAGCCGGACGGCTTTGCGTTGAATACGGTCGAGGAGAGAGAGCGGAATACGAAGCTCCACTCCATATGTGACTGCAGTATTCAAGCATCGGGCGGATTTCATCTTTGTGTTAAAGAAGTAGGTGCTTGGGTGCAAAGAAATGCCTTGCGTGGAATGGAAAACCAACTTTGCGCGCAGCGCGAGAGGCAAGTGTGGAGATAAAAAGGAAACCAACAGAGGGAATAATTTATGGATAAACCCAGGGGGAGGAGAGAATTTGTGGAACGAAGGGGCAGAGAATCAAAAATCAATTGAGGAGAAAAGGAGACACGTTTAAGAGAGACTGAGAGGAGAAACTTTATTGAAGCATTGAAACACGGATGGTTGCTAGAACTCCATGCGGAGATTAGTCCGAGGTCGGAGGCAAGGGAAGCACTAATGACATTACGATCGTGATCGACTTTGGTATTAGCTTGACGGATTGTGGGATAATAAGCGGAACAATGGAGAGTGACATCATCGGCAAAGCAGTAGATAGAATTAGATTTTTGGGATGAAAGATGGTTGATAAATAAGAGAAAGAGGATGGGCGAAATTATGGAACCTTGGGAAACACCGGCGACTACAGGAAATGGCCGAGATATTCGGACGGAGATGAGGAAACAACAAAGCCACGATATCGGAGATGGGTGGAATCCGAACTTGGTTAAGTTCGACAGCAGACCTTCATCCCAAACGCGGTCAAAGGCCTTTGAAATGTCGAGCAAAACCATGTGAGTTTCTCCGTGGTTATCGAGTGCAGCCGACCAGGAATATGATGTGAGCGCCATTAAATTACCCGTATATCGACGAGGGTGAAATCCATACTGACGGTCATTTAAAAAACTGCGTTCGAGCAACGTACGCGGTTGGTCCGACATAATGGTTTCAAACACTTCCGAGATTACATATGTAAAAGTAATGGGACGGTAGTGGTTGGGGTCGGAAGGGTCTCCGCGCTTTGGGATTGGAAAAAGAATGGCATTTTTCCATGGAGTAAGGAAAGACATGTTCGAGTGAATAACAGAAAAGGCGGCGTAGAACAGGGACACATTTTCAGGACAAGAGGTGGAATACCGTCCGGACCTGGTGGTTTGCAAACATCCAGACCGCGAAGAGTTTGGCGAACCCTTCTGATTGTTATCATGGGTAGGAAGGAATGACAGGATGTGTAGGAGGAGGGTTGAACTGTAGAGGTAGCAGATAAGGTGGAGTTGGAGGCAAACCGGGAAGTGAAGGTCTCCGCTTTTTCGTGGAGATTACAAACAAGCGTACCAGACGAATTGTAAATACGAGGTGTGACATGTGTCAACGTCGATTATGCCATCGATCTATTCTCCGTCTCACTCTCAGACAAAGACCAGTGCTTACGTCACCCACACACGCGGGCGCTCGCACAGGCACCACGATTCATTCCCATTGCTTGACCTGTTAGTCATTCTCCTACTGTAGATTGTCACGTGACGCATGATCCATTCAGTAAAGCTACGTGTTCTGTGCCTTGTCCTCCGGGCTAACTACGGGTTAACCTGATTGAGACTGTAACATTTGGCGACGGGAATAAACTGTTGTACTATCTCAATCATGTTCTCTACACAAACTGTGGAACCTTTGTGGCCCAATACGGCAAACAAACCTTCAACGAATGTTTGGTGCGGATGGAAACGTACATTTTGTGCCTACATTGAATTACTTTTGGCCCTGAACCCCAGCATACATCTGTCAGAGGATCAGAAAATCAAGTTACTTCGACAACATCTCGGTTCGGAAGGCCAGAGGCATTTTGATGCTCTACGTATATATGACGCACTGAAAGCTCTTGACGGACTTTGGGGCCTTCGAGTGCATGTGCATACCGCCCGTTTTACATTACACAAATCGCACCAACAACCGGAGGAGGCGGTTGATGATTTCNNNGACGGATGACGGTGCACTCAGTTGGGAGAAAGCTTGCGGTATTGTCCGTCAACACGAAAACGTAACCAAACAGCTCACTTATTACAAAAAGGAATCACCGGAGATTGTTCAAGTACTCACCGGGTAAATCTACACAGATGTTCAAATCGTCCCACACGTTTACCTGGTATCGATGCGGGGCTAAACACAGTACACCATCAGAATGTCGTCACATACAGATTGTTTGTCATAAATGTGGTAAACAAGGGCATATAGCGCGTGTGTGTTGATGGAAAACTTCCGCTACACCAAGTGGTTCAGATAGGATCAAGAG